GAGCCGCGTTACGGGTCCCTGAAGGCGGCTCCCTCTCACGGTCACGGGGCCTGGTCCAAGCGCCGCTGCTCCCTGGGAACAGTCGTGCAGCTGGTGTTCACGCCGCTGTCTCTGACCGTCTGATGTTGGGACGTCCAACGGGACCGAGGCGCCACGTGCCCTGCAGGGGCCTGTCGTGGTGTCCAGAGCGCCCCCGTCCACCGGCGGCTGTGGACCTGCTCTCAGACCCGGCGCGTCCTCTGAGCCTTCCCCAGAGAGCCGCACCCTTCTCAGCCCGCAGCACTTCGCACAAACCGCTGTTTCTTTGTCACTTTGTGTTATAATAATTTTATTTCTTTCTACGCATCATGAGATCCCTGAGACTCTGCCCCTCTCTGCACCCCTTCGTACACGGCAGCTACTCGGCGTTTTTATCAAATGGGTGAAGGATTAAAATGGTCTCAGAATCGAAGCAGCTGCAGAGCAGAACCACAGGCTGTTGAAATTGGATCCTGTGGCTGATGGCGGAGGGAGGTTTCGCCTGTCGCAGGCTGGTCTGTCGCGCCGGAGTCTCTGAGTCCACGCGTGTTCACGAGCCCGCGAGCTCACCAACTCCCGTCGCTGTGCATCCTCTGCGGGGCTCAGCGAGGATTGTTCTGCACCAAACGCCAAGTCCCGAAGTTGGAATGACACAAGAACTCCACGATCAACACTCTGAGAATGCCCCGTCCACGCGGTTCCTGGAAGGCCACAGTCCGGCTGCGTCTTGAAGGTGGAAGCGGATGGGAGGGAAACCAGGGAGGGGTCAGGAGGGGGGGTGTGTTCGGAGAACCTGGAGAAACCTTCCTGACCGCGCGGATCCACCTCAAATCCATTTGATCCCAACTCTTTCAAAATTCTGTCACAATATTTGCAGCTCTGGGGCCCGTTACTCTGCCTGAAAACTGCCCGATCGTGGGAACCTGTCGCCCCCTCCTTCACCCACAGGGCGTCCACCTGTGCTTCAGCTGAATGTAAGCTATTTGTGGACGGCGTGCGTCCCGGTCAGGGACATCCTGCCCTGCGACCCTCAAGCGCGAAGCCGCGCAGACCCCAGCAAGCAGCCAACAGGAGGGAGTCCCCGCGGGAGACCGGCCACCCTGCGCCACGCGGAGAGGGATGAAGATTAAAGACTGAAAAGAACAGATTCCACACTTGCTCTGCCCGGACTTAATTTGCTCACGATAATCACAAGAATTAGCCTTTTGCGTACGGAGGAAGAGTCGCGGGTGGCCGCAGGGCAGACGGCGCGGCAGGTGCCGGTGGGGCAGCGGCAGACACACGGAGCTCCCTCGTGAGTCACAGGTGGTGCCGCCACCCGCTCTGTGGAGCGACCAGGGACTGGAGGACACTGTGTCCTCCCCGGCCCCCGGCTGCAGACCGGGCAGCGCTGACCTCCTCCCTCCCATAAGACCCTTCCGGCTCCCCAGGCGACCCTGACAGTGGGTGTTAAGTCATTAGTCTGGAAGCCTGAGCAGGGACCAAACTCACAGCAAAAGCAAGGGACGCGGCGAGGACAGCAGCCTCTGTGGTTGGAGCGTGTTCCCAAAGTGCGTGTGTTGGGAGCTCGATCCCCAGTGCGGAGTGTCAGGAGGTGCGACCTTCCGGGGCTCAGGTCTGACGGCTCTGCCCTCGTGCACAGATCCCTGTGGGGGGGACTCCACATGAGGATGAGTTTGGCCCCCTCCTTCTCCCTCTCTCCCTCTCTCTGCCCTTCCACCGCGTGAGGACGCAGCAAGGCCTTCGCCGATGCTGGTCTCTTGATCTCGGACCTCCCAGCCTCGGGACCCGTGAGAAACACGTGTCTGTTCGTGGTAAGTTACCCAGCCTGTGGCACTCGGTTACAGCAGCACGAACGGGCGGACGGGCCCCTCGTGAGAAGGCAAAGCGGTGCCTGGTAGCAGCGAGAAGTGCCAGGAAACCCGTGGTGACAACGTCCAGAACAGAGGAGCCGAGAGAGGGGCAATGCAGGGGCCGCTGCCGAGAATGGGCGCCTGGCTTTCCATCCAGGGCCCGGGGGGCTGCAGGCACCTGGTGTGGATCACGGAGACCCGCGGAGAGAGCAGCGCTGACCCAGGACAATTCCCCAGGGCTCTAGCCCTGGCCGCGTACGGTACAGGGGAAGGAAAACGCAGCTCAGAGGGCCAACGCTACAGCACACCGAGTGTCTCCATCTGTCGCTGAAAGTGACGGCAACAGCTGCCCTGCGGCCTCATCGCCCAGGGGCGGTTGTTGAACAAGATGAAGTGGGATTGGACCCGGAGCCCTCTCCAGCCCTGGGGAAGGTTAGGTTTAGTGCCACTGTCTCCGCAGCGCTGATCGGAACGCTCCTGCGTTCACGCGGCTGAGCTGCGCCAGCCGGGTGATTCCCATCCCGCCGGTCTCGTTCAAGCCCAGCCCTCCCACTCCTGCACAAGGGGCCTTGCTGGGGACAGAAGGTCTAGAATAACTGGGGGACTGCTCGGTCTCGCCTGTCAGACGGCAGAAGGGCCGCCATGTACCGAGTGTGACCCCCGCGCACAGAGCAGAGCCAGGTGGCCTCGTGGTTGCCACGTGGTCTCCAGGGACAGTGTGATCAGCGCAATGGGCAGTGCCAGTGGTCAAGAGAGCCAAGCGAACACCTGCAAAGCAAGTAAGGCTCGGTTTTCCAGAACTGGCTTCTTGCAGAGAAAGTAGCGCGGAGCGCTTCACAGTGACACAGATCTAGCTGGAACCTAGTTTAGCTAAATGATTTTGAGTGACTATCAGGACAAGTACTATGGACACAGAAAAAAGCAAAGAAATAAGTCATTGCCTTCTAGAAGCCTCAATCTAGATCAGCCCCAGGGGTCTGTATTTCACAGCTGGGATTCGGCGCAGGCTGGTCGCGGACCACACAGAACGTCAGTGCTCCAGGACACACAGGCCCGCTGTCCCTCCCCAGTGTGCTGCCGAAGGTGATAATAGAATAAAAGAAGCGTAAAATACCAGCGCTGGGGGGGACCTCCCAGCCCCATCCAGCACCCCTACTGTTCAAATGAGGAGACCAAGACCCCCATGGAAGCATCCTCTCCAGCACACGCGTATAGCCAACTGTCTGGCCCTGCGGCCCCACCCTCTGAGACCTGGCTCTCCCACACGTGTTGCCCATGGGTGAACACGTGGGCTCCGGCTACGGTAGGATTCTCTCTCTTCTTGCACCAGTTGCTCAGTTAGGCCAGGCCCACACACAAAAATTCTATTGGTAAAACCAGTGCAGTAACTGTTCTGCATAACAGCAGTTATTTGGCTGCTCACCCACTGGCCTGAATGTCTGTCTGGAGCCGTGTGCAGGGTGGGCAGTGACTTCCAATGACTCCCAGGTCTGCACTTCCAGCACCAGGAGACTAAACGTGTTTGGAAGTTGGGCCACCGTGACTCAAACACTAAAGACCCAGCTTCAGATCAGCACTCAGCCCACGTGCAAAGGCACAGGAGCTCTCCTGCCCCAGGGGCAAGTTGCTGGTGGTTTACTGTGGTCTGTCATGATCTCTGCAGCCGGGTGACCTGCAACTGAACGGCCTGTTTCGTTTTCTTGCACCCTCAGACCATAAGGACGATCTGTGGATGTAGGGAGCAAACCACACAGGCATCAAGATCTGACGCGCCGCAAGGGGCAAAGGAGTTTAAAAGGCTCTTACTGTGGCGCTTCTTCGCGTTGGCTTTGCCTTCCTCTTTGGTGACACCCAGGCAGCCCATCAATTCTTGCACAGAGATGGACTTGTCGTTGTTCACATCACAGTATTCCACAAACTTCTTCACACATTTTTTGGGCTTTGATTTTTTCCGAAGGAATCTCTTGAAGGGTTTGATTTCCTTCTTGCCGATGTCCCCGCTGGAATTTTTGTCGAGGAGTTTGAAATACCAGTGCACCACTCTCTCCTCCAGCGTGTGGCTGGGGTCGGGTTCTGAGAGCCTGCGGGGGGCACAAGTCGGTCAGGACACGGACCACGCGGCCGCCTCTCCTCTGCCACGCCTCTCCCCAGACCCACACCCCCTACGGCGGTTCTCACGGTCTGGAGGCTAAGCCTGCATGTATCATGTACCGCTCATCATCGGATATAACGATTTGTAAAAATTATTTAGAAAAGTGATTTAGCAAACATTTTTCAAGTTAGTCTCAAAATTGCAATGGATGCAGCGCACTTGTGCAGGCCAACGGCACAGATACGTCGTTGCCAGTGTGGGGGAGTATCCAGTCCTTGAAACGCCATGGCAATAACGCTCGGCAGCCCCACCACCGAGCGCGGTCTGCAGAAGGTGGGCAAGAGCCGGAGCAAGCTCCCCGACGCCTACGACGGAAGTGACACCAAGGCGCGCCTACTAAGTACCCAGGAAAACATTTCTCAGGTCTCAGAAATCCTATTTTGAACAGTGTGAATGTAACTGATGCTACTCAATCATACTTTTGAAAACGGCTGAGATTGCAAACTTACGGGCTGTATATTTTACTACGGTAAACAAATCCTATTTTGAGAATTTCAAACTTTTCCATTCAAAGTATTTAAAGTCCAATCTGTAACAATAAGATGCAATTCCAAAACACACGGCCTTGGGAAGGAGATGCCTTCCTCCATCCCTTCTACCCTCCTGGCCTCACCCCACCACCTGCAGGGTCGGTGACCCCGCCCCACGGAACCCCTGGGGATCATGTGCACAGGGCCTCTGCCCTGATGACAGCGTCCTCCGGGATTTAGATGTGTTACGAGAAAAATATGCTACTTCATGTTTTGGAGAGGGCACCTTCTCAGGTCTTGCTGTGTCGGAATAAGCTGACAGGGTCTCAGATATCTAGGGTTAGACCGACTTTGAGCTTTCCAGGTTTCCCCGACTCCTGGGGCCTCTTGCACGTGCAGCGTACCTGCCGGACGGGGAGGAGGGGTCGGAGACAGCGTGGACCATGTCCGTAGACAGCGCGTCCAGAACGCTGGTCAGAAACTCGTGCTTTTTGGCACCAGGACAACCTGGAAAAAAAATGCACATGTTTTCATACTTCACAGAACTCACAACGTGTAACAGATGTTTTCTGTAATGGAAAGAAATGTTGTGTTAGTATTTGGAAGTTATTCTGTTGGACTACCTTAATATTAATGAGCTAATCTGAACACTGACAAACGCATTGCAGTACGTACATACAGATACGCAGATTTTGAACCCTAGTTGTTATTAATTATGATATCTAACATTCTCGAATTATTAGGTGAGACCAAGATTCACAGGCATTCAGAGCTCGTTGATCTTCAGAACAGCAACCCAGGGTCGGTGGTACCGCTGCCCAGCGCCATCCGTGCGGCACCTGTGCATGGAAGCATTGGGAGCCCCTCCAACACCACAGAGAGAGACAACGAGACTGGTGGTCCAGGTGGGCCTGAGTGCAGCTCACCCCTGCCCCTGCCCTTCCCAGAACCGCCTCACTGCTCGGAAGACAAAGGAGACGGGCATGGTGGGAGGGCTTTGTGCCTGACACGGGTGTTCACACAGTTTGGTGGGTTCAGTGCTCATGGTTCTGAGCTCGGAGCTGACACATACGATCCCCAGGGCCCAGGGCTGATGCAGTGACTCAGTTTATCCAAACCTAACGTTCCACGACAGACCTCTCCATGCAGACGTCCTTTAACTGTCCTTTCCCTCTCACCCACCCTTCCGGAATTCCCTAAACGCCATGCCTGGGACAGTCTTCTCTCCCCGAGTTCAGAGTAACTTTGTAAAGAAGCCGTCAGCTCACTGTGGGGTCCTTCCCGCCTGGAAGCCCCCAGGAGTGCGCTACTGTGGGGTGGCACCTGGTTGTGGGGCAGCCTCCTCAGTCCTTGCGCCCAGGATGGGCGCCATGAAGAACGGGAGCTGTCCCTGCCGTGGTTGCCCTCCAGACGCGGAGAAGTTGTGCAGTGAGTGTCCACGGGATAAATACGCAAAAGAAAGACAGAAGGCGCCATCCTTGTTTCATGGGTGAGCACACTGGGTCTAAGGAACTTGGTGGCCGGCACTTGCGGAGAGTGGGGAGGCAGGGGGCATGTGGCGTCTGCGGATCCCACCGGCTCTTGGCTCAGCTGGGTGCAGCGTCCGAGTGGCTCTGTCCTCTGTTTCCATCTGTTCAGGTGCGGACGTCCAAGGCACAGGTGGCAAATTGGCTCTTCGTCATTTACGTTTTATTTAACTAAATATTTTGCTAAAAAAGACCTTAGAAGAGTTTGCAGAAGGACGAGAAAGACGTGAGAGGAATGAAGGAGAGAAGTCAATGGGTCAGGACTGAGGGGACAGCCACCAGGCCTGCCACCGGGCCTGCCACCCAGCCTTGCTCTGCCACATGCCACGTGCCTGGCTGCGAGTGTGGGCAGGCCATGGCGCTGGCTCTGGGGGTCCTCAGGCTCTGCTGCGGCTGCGGACGTGCCACGCAGGAGCCTAAATGTCTAAACCACCTGTGTCAGGGTGTCTGCTCGGACCACCCTCGCCGCGGCAAGAAGGGAGTTTACACCACGTGGTGAGTGAAAAGCTGACTTTGCCAAATCTAGATCAATTTTTTAATAACAAAAGCTTTAAACGGTCCCTCTAAAATCTCTGGTGTCTGCTCAGGGAGTAAAGACAAGAAGGTCTGCAAAGCCCACGGCAGAAAGACGTGTCCCGCTGAGAGGAGGGGCCGTTCCACGACCCTTCACGGTGGCCCCCAGGAGGAAGGAAACCGGAACACGCTCTCCCAGGAAACCGTCCGTGGACGGCCCGCGAGGAGGCCACGTGTCTCTCTGGGACTCTGGGGCAGTAGGAGAATTCGGCAGGGCCCCGGGTGGCCACGGGCGCGGCGGCCAAGTCATTCAGAGATCAACATGTTGATGCAATTAAGACACTCTGGTTTTCATAAGTTCCCTTTGACACTTGAGTTTTGTTATTATTGTTATTCAAGTATATGCTCATTGCCTATAGCAGGAATCCATTATGCCTGTTTTCACTTCATTAAATGCACATATCAGAAAACACATGTGACTCATTAAGGGGGTGGGGCGGAATTTGAGAGTGAAAAGGCTAGTGTTTGTCCCCTTTGCACACAACCGAAAAGTAGATTACAGTCTATAGAAAAACCCACCACCGTGGGGAGAATGTTGCTTTCCAAGAAAAAAGTAATTTATCTCGTTAGATATTCCCTCGGAAAGAAGTAGAAGTCCTGGGCTCCAGAGGCTGCAGATGGCCAGGGATGCTCCGGCCGCTCCTGCCCTGCCGCCTGCCATGGCCTGGGGTCACCCAGCGGCGGGAATCGCTGCCACAGGGAGCAGGGACCGGCCGCCGCAGGCCTGAGGACGCCTCCTGGCCGTGCTTGGGAACACGGGCAGAAGCTCGTGAGGACTCTGCAGAGGGGGCCCAGTGAGGACACCACGGCTGCCACGGAGGCCAGTCCTTGCGAATTCCCAACCCTGGACACCCTCCAGAGGCCCCCAGAGGCATGTGATGAAGATGAGGGAAATTCAGTTGTCTGGGAGAGGTTAGCACATTAGATAATTCTCAGCACTGAGAGGCTGTGAGGGAGAATCATGCTAGTATCTGGTGCAGTTAAGACGTTACCAGGATACACCAATGGATTTTTTGGCTGTTAATTTAATCATATCCCCCCAATGAGGTGCAGCAGCACCGTATTTTTAATTACAAAATAATATATAACTATGGTAAAATACAAAATTGGCATCATGTATAAAGCTGTAGGGTTCTAATGCAAAAAGGAAAATTTAACATAAAAGGTATGATCTACTTTTAAAACAAGAAATACTAACTCGAGCCTGCTCAAGTATTTCTTTAAATCGTGGTATAAGTTACATATTGTGTATAAGTTACATACTGGTATAAGTTACATATTGTGCAGTGCGCGGATCTTCCTGCTAAGGATCTCATTTTGTCGGGGAGAGGCGCTTCAATCCAAAAAGAGAGTATTTTTTATTTTTATTTACAAAGACACTGAACTTCATTTTGAGTAAAGAAAAGGAAAAAATGAGTTAGGTTCAGAAAGACGAAACTGCCACATTTCTACGACGTGCAAGGCCATTCCGTCTCATACTTTACGGAGACATGCGTGTGGTTGGCATGAATAGTCAGAGACCACACACGTGAAGTCCACTTGCCATGGGAACCCCTGGCCGGAGGGTCCACTTACGCCATAAGTACCGGGAAACGGGCGGAGGTGCCGAGACGCGTGGGTGAGCCAAGTGTCCCGGCACCTTGCCTCACCTGACCAGGTGACAGGGACATCGGCTCACCTGTATGGCTGTCGCGCTGTGAGGACAGCTGCGCGTAGATGGGAATAGTGCGTGTCACCCCAGATAGGCTGAGAGGATAGCCAGGGAGGTGGTGGCACTTCCTGGAGCTGACTTATTTAGGAGGGTGCGGATCCGGGACATGAGGGTGGGGTGCAGGGGAGGGAACCGGAGCGGGAACCTGCCTGTCCACGTGTCCCCACCGCAGTTTATCTGACATTGTTCGGCTCACGCTTTCGACACTGCCTGCTGTTCGCGGAAAGCTGAGGGCCCTTGTCACACTCACCCCAGAGCCTGGAATGACGCTTCTTTCACTATGAGGGTGATTGTGGTTCAAAGCTATTCTGAGGGGAAAAAGGGCAAATAAAAATGTAAAATTAGAAGAAATTGGAAGGAAAAAAACTAAAGAATCCATGAAAGTTCCATCGCCGGGAAATGCCCGGGTCTCGCAAACGGGCGAAGGAACAGTGTGACTTGAAGAAAAGAAGGAAACCGCCCACGGCGTCAGGGCTTCCCCATGCCAAACCCGGGGAGCCGTGCAGCTCCTCGTGACGGCTCTGTGATGGGGCAGAGACCCTCGTCCCTTGCAGGGGGCCAGCCCTGCGCCTCCTGCTGCAGCTCCCGCCTCCGAAAGCTGCCCCTGCCCTCGGGCTTTGGGCGCAGGCCGGCTGGGACGCTGGCTCACTCCCGCCCACGCTGCGCCCTCTCTGCTCTCGCGGCGACTCCTGGGGCAGTGGAGGCATCTGAGAAACGGAGAGGACACTGCACAGGGAAGAGACACCCTTAAACCAAACCCACAAACACGTGTGATCACGTGTTTTGCACTCTCGGTTACTGGCACTTGCTGAATTTGAAAAGTCTGCTTAAAATCATGGTATCACCTCCAGTTAAAAAGTACTCTAATCTCACATGCTCCACGCCCAGCCACAGTACACAGCTCTTTCTACCTGGCACGTTCCTGTTCACTAAATGTTGAGCTTCTGTGTTTTAGTCCAGGCAGAGATTTTTCCCTGAAGTGCTGACCCGTGTCCAGGGCCTGCGGGGCCCTATGACAGGCTGCGCACAACGTCACCGTCTGACTTTGCGCAAAGCTTCGCACGTGCTGTTGGGGCACATGTCTCCGACATGCAGCTTCTGCCCACCTCCACACCCAGGCTTCACTGCCATTTGGCAAAACTGGTACTTGAGAGAGAGAGAAACTGAGGCCCAAGTCATGCACGGATTTATTTAGTGGGAAATTAAGACTTGCATTGCACTCAAGAACTATGACCTTGTTGGGGTGGAGGAGGGCAGCATGGCCCCCACACATAAACCCACACTGAGTCCTTGCAGAGCTCTGGTCGCTGGTCCAGAGGCCACCATGCAGCTGGGAACAAGGGACAGGCCTGCCCTCTGGCCACCCCTGCTCTGGGGGCGGGGCAGTGGCATCAGACACCAGAGAACCTCCTTGCTAATCTGAGCAGGCCACGCCTCTGCCCAGGAGACCACCGTGGGCAGAGGAAAAGCCCCTGCCAAGGCCCTGGGCCTGGGGATGCCCGCCGTTCCCTCGTGCTGTACGGAGCCCAGGGCAGCTGGCATGAAACAGGTTGGAAAACAGCTGTAGGGAGTGATGTGGGGCGCGGAGCGGCCTCGTGAACTTGTGGGGTTCTGTGAGTCACAGAAAGGAGTTTGTACTTGATCTGAAAGCAAACTGGAATCCGCTGGGACACTTGGAGAAGCGACACCATAATCGG